CCATTTTCATGTACGTATACATATATATTTTATATCTATATACCTATACCTATATATATATATATATATATATATTTATATATATATATATATCTTATAGCTCACAGATTGATAAGCTGATCGCTAAGAAAGAATAAACACGTAGTGGGCGAGCGCGGGCTATAATAGGACAGACAATTCGAACGGGATGAGTTCGTACAACACTCGTCACCAATAAAATTTAACCACCCGAGAGAAGGATTCATGTAGCTCTCCAGTTTTCGAAAGACAGTTTTTTTTTTTGCTACTATATATTGAAGTGGTTTTTCGTCAATTAATAGAGGTACGAGCTTTACACCCCGTATTTAGTTAATCTCTACCATTCTGCTATTTTGCCACGCAAACATAGAGATTTTAGTAGCGTAATCTCTACTTTTGTGCGACTGCCAAATGCAGCAGGTTTTAGAATATCCAAAACGTAAAGGTGGCTTGACTAGAGAAAGCAGTCGTATAGCTATACTGTGTTCGTAGAGGCTCAATTCAACAGTCCCACTTCCGGTACTCAGCTTGCTCGTGGCTCTGACAATATCTGTAACTGTAATCCGGCTGCATCGTCAACACCGCAGAAAGGGTGTGGGTATGGGCGATTGGAGTCGACCACAGCACAAGTTATGTCGTTGGGACGTATCTTGCTGGTACCCTTGCACCGCATGCATTAAAATGACACATCAAAGTTGCCATGGTAACGCTTGTATGTACGCTATGTATCTGCATTGCTGCGATTTGCAGTCATATCTACATATCTATCCTTCAGGGGGTATCGTAGTGGTACCGGAATTTTATACAAACATTACCTACCGGCATGGGCAGAAAGCTGGAATAGTTGCACACATCATCCTATGTAGCGACTGCTTAGATTATATATCTTGTACACGGTCATCCTCTACCATTAGGGACCGGGAAGGTCTCCAATGGCTCTGACTCAACTATACCAATCTCTGGCCCATTCCGGATACGGCGGGCCGGCCAACTGGTAGTCTATAAATAGCTCGTCGCCGGCCTTGATATCCTGCGTGCTGATAAAGACCGCCCAACACACACCACTTCGCACGGCTTGTGCCTGAGAGTGTGACGGGGGCGGGTGATGTACTACCTCTCCCGTGAGTTCATTGACGTACCACAGCGAACTATGTGCCAGCACATTGGGGATCACATAGTATCCTGAATCCGGTGCGTGTGTGTCGGACTCTTGTGCCCTGTCCTCGGTCCTGTCCACCCAGGTCTGAGGTGCGTCGCTATATGTAGGGGGTAACGAGTGCCCATTAGCAACCCCCTCAGTCTGCGGTTCCGTAGACGGCGATTCAGTGTTGCTGCGAACCAAGTCGAGGTCGGGCGTATAGTCATCTTAAGAATGTGAGGATTGGAAGTAAACACACCAATGTGAGCGCCACGGTGGGCCAGTCGTGTGCAGAGTAGTGGCAGTGGACATGCACAAGCATTTGAACTACACACGGGATAATGTTACACTCGGCACACCATCGTAGCAGACTGGTAGGTTTGGGTATGTATACTCACGTATGAATCGCTCAATACGTATACGTAAGGATCTTACATATTTATGTATATACGACTGGGAAAAAAATGTGCACTCACACTTGTACCTGGTAGGTTTGGGTATATATATCTACATACGGACCTCTAAATATGTATACGAAAAGATCTTACATATTCACATATATACGACTGTGAAAACAATGTGCACTCACACTTCTACACCGGATAGGTCTTGGTGCATAAGCTTGAATACGGGGAAAGAACTCGTAGGCGGTATTGGATGGCTAAGGATTTGATAGCTCACATGCACACATGCCTCTATGAATAGGAAACGGCGCACAACTGCTACCGACTGATCCACATTTTAGAATATAAAGGGACAACACAGTACACTCATCTCCAAAAACAGTACTTGCCAGTAAAAAAAACGTGTAAAAAAGCACTTGCCAGGTAAAAAAAACCCGAGTAGCCTGCGCGCTTATTATCAAGCATATACAATTGCCGATACAGTGCATGTCAGCATATCAGTGTACAATCCCATCAAGTGTAACATCGTAGCATCACATATACAAACCTTGGGATATAACTCTAAACGAATACCCTAGTGTAAGATCAACCAATACATCAAAGACAATACACACGCCAGTACCATGAGAACCGTCCCGCCTACAACCCGTTTCACCAGGCCTGGCCGATTGATTGTAAAACACATCACTCCACCGGAAGTCCAAAACGCTGCAATTGGCCCAATTCCCCGTTGGAGCATGGTTTACCTTGTGTACGACTATTGGAAAGTTGAACGCTCGTTGAGAAGTTGCACAC